TCTGCCTCAGCCAGAATTACAGGCATGCGCTACCACACCTGGCTGATTTTTTGATTTATTGTAGAGATGAGGTCTCGCTGCCCAGGCGGGTCTCGAACCCGCGGGCTCAGGCAATCCACTCACCTCAGCCTCCCAAAGGCACGGGATTACAGGCTGAGCCACCGAGCCTGGCTTCAACTACTTTTTAAACTAAATAACATACTGTGTCTATTGCTCCACATCACTAGATATGTACTGGTCATATCATTCCCAATGGTAGCAGAGTATTTCACTTACATAAATATATATTATTTGTTTAAACAACTTCTTCATGGCCAGATATTTAAATTATCCTAAAAATCTTGCTATTATAAACAATACTATAATAAGTATCCTCATCTCTGCAGACTCACATGATATTTTTTTCCCTAGGATAAATCCAAGTATTAAAATAGCAAGATGAGGGCCAGCATGGTGACTCATGCCTATAATCCCAGCATATTAGGAGGTCAAGCAGGAGGATCACTTGAGCCCAGGAGTTTGAGATCAGCCTGGAAAACATAGTGAGACTCCAACTTATATTTTAAAACAAACAAACAAACAAATAAATAAAATGGCAAGATCAGAACATACATACTTATATAACCAAATTACTCTCTGATTAAACCAATTCACACTTAAAAAACAAACAAACAGGGTCTCTGTTGACCAGGGTGAAGTGCAGTGTCACAATCATAGCTACTTGCAGCCTTGCCCTCCTGGGCTCTCAAGTAATTCTCCTGCCTCAGCCTCCTAAGTAGCTGGGACTACAGGTGTGTGATACCACACCTGGCTAATTTTTTTATTTTATAGTGACAAGGTCTTGCTATGTCAACCAGGCTGGTCTCAAACTCAAAACCTCAAAGGATCCTCCTGCCTCTGCCTCTGCCTCTCAAAGTGGTGGAATTACAGATGTCAGCCGCCACACCTGGCCCAACTCATACTTTTAACAAGATTAACATGGGTCCTCTCTTCCTGCTGTCTTCGCCAGTTAACTGTCAGCACTCACAGGTATCTGACCTTGAGCAAATGACTCAACATCAATGAACTTTAATTTATTAATTCATAAAATGTGAATAACCCAATACCTACCCACAGGGTTTTATTAAATTAAATAACAAAAGTTTGTGGGACAATTCTAGCTCATATTACACTATTATTATTATTTGCCAATATGACAAGTGAAAATATATCTTTTTAATCTTTATTTCTTTGATTATGAGAGAAGTTGAATAATTTTTCAGAGGTTGCTGGATGCAGTGGCTCAAGTCCATAATCCTAGCACTTTGGGAGGCTGAGGCGAGAGGGTTGCTTGAGCCCAGGAGTTTGAGACCAGCCTAGGCAACACAGCAATATCTCGTTTCTACAAAAAATAATGATTTGTGTGGGTGCCAGGTAGGGTGGTATGTGCCTATAGTCCCAGCTATTTGGAAGGCTGAGACAGAATCGCTTGAGGCCAGGAGGTTGAGGCTGTAGTGATCTGTGATTGTGCCACTGTACTCCAGCTGGGTGAGAGAGTGAGACTCCAATTCAAATAATGATAATAATATTTTTTCAGAGATTAACTGGCTATTTCACTAGTAACTGACCATACATGTCCTTATTTTTCTAATTCAATGTTTGGCTTTTTCCTAGTGATATGTAAGAATTCATTATAGGTTAGAGAGAAGGCTTTGCCATATGTTTTGCACATATTTTCTCCTATTGTTATTATATCAAAGTTTTACATGTAGTCAGTTCTATTGATTTTTCTCTTATGATGTCTACACTAGAGGACATGTGCACCAAATTTCTCTGATCCAAAGTGTTTCTATCCACTGGTGCCCTCAGTGGGTATTTACGTCATCCAATGGGTATTTATGGGGCACATGATTTGTGTGGGTGCCATGCTGGGTGCTGGGAGACTAACCACGAACAGTAGGGACCTCCTGCCCATTCTTCACTTGGCCTTAGAGACAGGCATAAAACAAACAACCACATGGTCACCATGCCATGTAAGGGCAGGTAATGCCACGAACATACAGAACTGGGGAGGCCATGGCTTAGTCCAGGGGTGGAGGAAGGTTCTCTTTCCCAGCTGGGAGAAGATGCACAGGGAACAGTAAGGCACCCAGATCCCAGAAGTCATGTGGGGGTATTCCCAGGGTCTAGGTGGAGGAGGCTGAGGCAAGTGACCAGTCTGAGTGAGGACAGTGATGGGGGAAGGCAGGTCCAGCAAGGACCTGCAGATGGTGTGTGGAGAATTTAGTTTATCTTGAGAGCAAGGAGAAGTCACTGACTGATGTTAAGCAGCAGCGCCCCATCCAGTTGGACTGAACCTGAGGGAGGCTGAAATGGGGGGAAGGCGAGTGAATTAGAGTTGACTATGGTGGTGCTGGAGATGGAGATGGGGAAGAGAAATTCCCAAGATATCTGGGAGAGGGTCCTAGAAAAGAAACTTTGGGAGAGAAGATTTGGAAGGAGTTTGAAAACTCTCAAGAAGAGAAAAATAAAAGGACAAAGAGATCAGCAAGGTTGGAGCTGGGGGGCCAATGTAGGGGAGAAGCTGGGGTGGAGTAAAAGGACAGAAGGGAAGGGCCAGGCAGGAGTTAGGAGGAGGGAATGGTGGCCCTCTTGGTCACACGCTCCCAGGGCCTGGCTGGCAAGACTTCTGAGAAGGACCCACTGCAGTCTGGAGCATGGCTCTCAGTGGGGTCGTGGGGATAAAGGCCAGGGATGGACAGGCTGAGGCTTCCCTGTGAAGGGGACAACAGGTATAGGCAGGAGGAGGGGAGGGGTACAGGAAAAGTTGTGGGGGTCCTGCCCCTCCAGGGATCGGAGGTCTCTGGCGGTGTAATGGCATCAGCAATTTAAACTGGAGGGATAGATGTAAAGAGAAAGAAAGTGGGGAGAAAGAAAGAGACTGGACTCCTGCTCAGGTGACCAGAAGCCGTTTATTGAATGCTATCCCAGGGCTTTTATCCCCAAACTCTGCAAAGTCATCATCACAGGAAACAAAGGTAGCATGTGCCTTTCACATGAACAGGTCCAGGTGCACAAAGGACACCCCCCACTCTCAAGCAAATGTTCTTTCATACAAAAGGAAGAACATGAGGAAGAACAACCACAAATTGTCTTTTTGTATCTTATGCTAGCTTAATGTTCCCCAAACCAGTTTCTTATGTGTCCTTAATTGTATTACAACTACAACATCTTGAATTAACATCACACAATGTCTAAACCCAAAACCACCATAGTGAAGTATTAACTTCCATTATTATGTACTAATTCAAACTAGTTTTTATTAAAACAATTGCTGCTATGGTTACACTCTCCTAGCACCAGCTGGCCTAATTCAAACTTCACTGGCCTCCCCTAAATCAAACTGAACTAACCATACTTCTATAATAAAATGGTTACTTAAATTTTCTTAATCTATATAAACTATTTTCTAAAGCCTATATCTATAAATTTCTAAAGGTTACATCAAGAGAACCTGTGACCTGCACTAAGGCTCCTCAATGTGACTCAAAGTCAAACTTAAATTGTGATAAAGTATAAGACCATAAGCCGTGGAGAATGGGAACAATAGACTCCTAGGTTTAGCTGTGTACGTTCAGGTCTCAGAGTTTTCTGTTAGAGCCAGCTGGAGCTTTTCTTGGTAGTTTGTGCCAAATGGAAAAGGAGGGAGGGAATGGGTCAACAGCTCCTGAACACATCCTAGTGGTCACGGGGTCAACGGCCCTTCTTGATCCCTAATGCTCAGTGGGCTTCTGTGGCTGGCTCCCAACAAAAAGTGACAGTTGGTAGAAAGAGGAAAGGGCCAAGCAAGGCTGGTGGGGAGGAGAGGAGGAGATCCTGGTGTGTCCAGCTGTGACAGCAGAGAAAGAGCCACTGGCCCTGGTGGTGAATGTGGCCTCTATTCACCTCTCTGTATACTTGGAGCCTGCATTCACAACCAGTTTCAAGAAGGTCATAGGAGAGGCATGTTTTCATGTTTTGGAGATGTTGGGAGGTTTTTTGATTAAGAAGCTGGGAGAAGAACATAGAGGCTGCTCACAGGCGACATCTGACTCGGAATCAGATCCCTCTCCTATACCTGACTCATACATACAAAGGTGATCATATGCCGATGCTGCCTGGAAATTAGTTTGAGAGGCAAGGCAGAGGAAAAAGTTTGGGCGTTGGGATCAAGCTGACCTGATTTAAACCTGCCTCTACCACCTCCTAACAACAGTATGGCTTAAATTACTAACTTCTGGAAACTTCAGTCTCCTTATCAAGAAAAGTAGAGATAATTACATTTGACTTGGGCTTATTCTCAAAGTTAAATGAGACAAAGTGTGTAACATGTCTCACACAACATTGTGCAGCACGAGGCTGCAGCATGAGGGTGCTTGACCTGCAGTTTCTGGGTGTCTCCACCTCTCAGAACGAATCTTGGTGGAGAACTAAGTTGCCTGCAGTTCAAGTTTCTAGATGACTCAGGAAGAGGAAAGCCTTCTGTCTACCAGGTCTGTGGGAGGAGGCATTTCTAGTCTTTGTTGCAATCTGTCAAAAATCAAAGACATCAAATACATCTAAAGCTTACAAAGATTGTTTTCTGATTCCCTTTGTGATTTAATACACCGTAAATTGGGACAAAGTTCTGTTTTTAAGGTCAAGAGTTGCAGTACGACTGGCAATGAAGAAATGGTAGCATGGGGCTAAGAGGCCCAACCAAGAGCAGTTCTTGTTATTGTTTTGCAAGAATGCTAACCTAGCAAGAAAGAGTCTCCTTTTAACATGTTACTTAAAAGTGACTAAAGCAAAAAGGGACCCTAGTTCATAATCACTACTGTGACATGATCCTCTTAGTGTCCTACCGTAAGAGCTACACGTGTTGATGAAACACACATTGATGCCTTGCTAGCCCACTTGCCTGAGAGTCAGTCTGAGGACTTTAGGCAATGTAGGATTGTGCTGTGATCATTATTATTGCATTTGAAAATATACATCATCAATAGAGAGTAATGGGGAAAATGTCAAGTATTGGTTTTCTCAAAAATTACATCATCTTTGCTGTTTCTACTGTTGATTTACATTAAAAAAAAAAACTGAAGCCCAACATAAAATTATGTTAAAAATAAAGTTTGGATTTTGTTTATTTAGATTGTATTTAAAAATAAAACACAACACTCCTGTTTCAGACCACCCCGGGAACTATGGACATTATAGTGATAAATGTTGGTGAGCTGAACGAGTTACTGAGATTTCTTTTTGTCTGTGGCAATCCAAACCAAAGAGTAATAATGGCTATATGAATACCAAAATTAAAACAGAGTTGCTAAGGTCATCAAATTTCACTCGCTTTTGTACAAAGAGAGTGCTTGGGTGCCTGGAGACCTACTGGGAGAGCTGCCTCATGAAATAGACTCTCCAGTGCCAGCCCTGGAATGCCAGACATAGCAGGCCAGGCTGCCCAGGGCATCTGACAATGAGCACCATCTTGGAGTCCCCAACATGTACAACATGTATAATAATAACACTCCACCTTGATATCAATCCTGAACAATACCTCAAATATATTTGTTAAAAAAAAGAGATGCACTGAGAAAAATAGGGTTTTCCCAATGAAATGCTCATGTTCATTTGCAAGATCTGTGTAAAGGGACTAAAATTTTATTCTATAAAATCATTTTTGTCCTCTTTTTTTCTATAACACCGAATTCTCCATTCCTCTACTGGGGCTTCTTGCTCACATGCTACCTGAGAAGGTTCATTCAGCAATGTCAAGCTCCAGGCAGAATCACCAAAGCTGGAAGACTAAATGCATCAGGGCTTCACCAGGCTGCAATATTGGAGAACTCCTCATAAGACGACAGTGTCCAGCAAACATCATCAAAAAATTGGGGGGAGATAGCAATTATTTTTTATAAGCATAATATTTTCCTTTCTGCTCTTTCTGTTGATTTATGTTTTTAGAAGGTAAAAAAAGAACACCAAGGCTGGTGAGGAAAGGCCTATTTCCAGATTCCCATTCACCTGAGCAGCTGCAAATCAGCTGGGCCTGATGGAACATCTCATGGGGCTCTGGAAGGTCATCGGCTAATGCCTTTGAGTTTGTGGGTGAACGTTTGCTCTGACTTATGAAATAAGTAGCAGGAATGTGAAAAACTATGAAGTGTGTAATAATATTCTCTCTCCCTTAAGTAATATTTTCTGAATTTCCAAGGCACTACAGGATAATTTATGGATAACAGGGTCTATGCTTTGGCAAAATAAAGGTTCTTAAGATAAAGCATGGGGAGTTAACCAAACTAATGACAAAGAAGCTGACCCCACGGGCTGAAACAAATGAAGCTCGTGCTCCTTTGCATTTTGTCTTTCCTTATTTTCTTTTTAAGTAAAGGTTTACCCATTGATCCAGGTTGGGCATGGCCCAGGAGACCGACCCCTCTGTAATGATGAAAAATCTGCTGCTTACATTTGTGTGAAAGATCACACAGGAAAGCCTCACTTTCTTTTCACAGAGTTATTTTCCCTTATTCCACCATCAGGTCTTCTCTTTCCCTGAGGGAATGTGGATTGTAAATGAAACATTAAAAAAAAAAAAAAGTCAATAGAAGGCCATTTACAAAAGGATTATTTGCCAGACCCAAAAGAACTGGATTTAACATGCTTGGAATGGTGCCCATGCTTTGGAGAAGGACCAATTTTACTCCATCACAATGTTGAAATACCAGGAAGGTCAGTGGGAGAGCCAGTTTCCTCAGAGGGGCATTCTGGGGACCCAGGTGACCAAGAGGAGCTATGGAGAACAGTACTATCAAGTCCCCAATCCTGGCTGTTGCCTCAGTCACCCAACCACCTTCCTACACTCATGGAAAGAGAAAGTATCAGCCTTTGGCAAATGTCCAGTTCTGTTGCTGCTATCATGGCATTTTTTTGGTTTTGAACATTAGCTTGCCTATTTGTTTACAGCACACCTTGTCATCTCAGGATGGTCTTAAACTAATCTAAAAGTATACAAGAGAAACAGTAATAATTTTTGCATTTAAAAAAATCAGAAAAGAGACAGTCATAATATACAAAAAGCACCAAAAGTATGTGAAGTGAAATGTGGCACATTTTTTTTTAATAGATAGGGTCTCCCTGTGTTGCCCAGGTTGGCCTGTAGGGTGCAGCTGATCCTCCTGCTTCAGCTTCCAAAGTACTGGGAATACAGGCACATACCAACATGCCCAGCTGGCACAGTGTTATTCTTTGTTGCCCATCTGGTTACTAATGCCAGTGAGGACAGGCTACTGTGAACGTTTTTATAACATTTATACGCACTTTTCCTTCTCTCCTTTTACTGGTCAAGATTCTTGGGGCAAGGTCCCGATCAAGGTAAAGCCTCCATCCCGTTGTAAGCACAAGGCATCAGCTGTCAGCAGCAGAGCAGACTAAACAGCGGAAGGGAGGGCTGCCATGTTCCATGCCATGACAGAGATAAACTGTTCCCCTGGTTTTTAAATGATCTCTCAGAAGGAGGAGCGAACATTTGGTCTAGTGAAGATCGATGGTGCTATCCATCACAATGTGGTTAGCGGCCTTAATAAGAAGCTACAAGCCCTCCTGGAAGGAAGAGAGGCGGTTGTCCTTGGACAGGCAGATGATGAGACTCATGTCCCCAATTCATGGAGGCCAAGTAACCTAATCAACTTTCTGGGGAAGGTGATGACCTGCCAACTCTCAGAACTTAGCACCCCACCCCGGAGGTGGGGCTATTCCTCTCCACTTGGTGACTGACACAAATTTAAACAGACAAGGTAGAGGGGCTTCTTTGCTCCCCTCCTGCTGCTGGGACAACCCTTCCCTACAACCACCCACAGCTTTTCACCAAGTTCAACTGTCCCACACAATCACAAAAATTCTTTTCCAGCTTCTAAAGTGAGTTATTAGACTATGATGTCTACTACACCGACCAGTAGTTTTTAAACTCCTTTGACTCTGACCCAGCATGCCCACACACCTCCCCTACAAATATGCATTCATAGAGACATAAGTTTGTGAAATATTTCTAAAGTTACTGTCTGTGATGGACTCTGAAATTTCTGTCCCACTTCATCCTATCTCATAAACAAAAAATCGGCTGGCAGGACCCACATAACTGATCTCCCAACCCACAAACAGGCCACACTCCGCACGTGAACAGCACTGGCACAACACGGGCCACATGAGTGGCTGGCATCTGAATGGCACACCCAGAAAGGGCCTATTTCTTACAGCAGCCGCTGTGACCAGCCCCCATACCCATGAAAGGAAATGCTGATGGCCTCCAGGATTTGTGCAGTTCTTGTAGTCACTAACCGAGTCGTTGGGTTATGACACCCAGCATGGCTCGTTTATGATTCACTCAGTGAACTTCTTCCCTTGCCACCCAGGACTGATTGACATTCCACGGCCTTCCAGAGAGGAGGCAATGATGCTGAGAGCCTGCACTGAAACGGAGTTCATTTGCAGCAGCAATTCATCAATTCCTAAAGTGGGGAAGGCTGGCTGATGATATCCCAAATTTATGGGATGGAGGAAGGGAATTCAATGTCTTTAGTAGGAAAGCCGTTAGAAGTAAATATGCAGTCAGTCCCAGTGACTTCTATTGAATTTGTATGATTTATTCACCCAAATGACCTCTGGCCTAGGCACAGCCATCAGAGTGCAGTGCGGCTGGTGTTTCACAGACCCTAGTGCTCAAAGACCAGCCCTTGGGGGCAGCAGAGGTGAGTGGCTTCCTTCCCACAGGAGACCACAGCAATCTGGCCCAGTCTGAAGAAACTCACCTGTAAAACAATGGGCAGCTGTTCAGGTGGGTTCCGGTTCTCCACGCCCATGGTGAGCCACACCTGGAATGCAGTCAGCTGCTCGGCAAAGAAGGGGCTGTGCTGTGGGACAAGCAGAGCAGAAACTCATTAGGGCCACCATCCCTAGATAGCCTGGCTCTACACACCCAGCCACCTGTCAAGCTCCAACAAGGCTGTATGAAGTACCCTCCTGCAGGACTACAGCAATTGGAATGTGTGAAGACCAGATGCCACTAAGGATTCTGGCTCGGGCACCTGCAGAGATGGAGTTACCTTGCTGAGCTGGAGGACTGAGGGAGAAGCATGTTGGGAACCCAGCTTTAGACATGCGAGCTCACGACATCTGCTGGAGAAGTGAGTGACATGCCTGGGGCAGCTGACCATGTGAGTCTGTGCATCAGGAGGTAGGTCTTGCTAGGGATACACATTCAGGAGTCGGCAGCACGCCACTCTTTTTAAAGTGAAGTGAGGACTGAGCCTGGGCCCTTCAATATGTAGAGACCAAGGAGATGAGGTAGACTCAGAAGGGGAGGCATCAAAGGCACACCGTGGAGGGACACCAGGCAGGAAGTGTTTCAAAGATGATATGGTGGGCAGAGCAGTGTCATAAACTGTTGCTGGGTCAGGAAAGACAAAGGTCAAGAACTGATAGAGAACGCGTCCAGCAACGAGAACAGTCTGGGGTAGGACAACAGCATGGCCGAGTGAGTACAAAACAGAAGAGAATTTGGAGGCATAAACACAGACAATTCTTGCAGGAATTGGGCTGCAGAGGGGAAGGAGAGAAATGGGTAGAAGCTGGAGGGGGATGGGGTGAGGAGGAGCGTATTACAGATGGAGAGAAATGGGTATGTGGAGGCTGATGAGAAGGGCCTTGTTGAGGAGGGGCTGACGATAGGGAGAGTCTGCTAAAGGACATCCTCAGGCAGGCTGGGGGATGGGACTGGGCACAGAAGTGGGGCTGGCACAGGTGAGCAGGACAGCCCTCCATGGGAACGGGTAGGAGGCCAAACTGTGAGCTGAGATGCAAAGTAGCGCAAGCATGGGATGAGGGAATGTGCAGAAGTCTTCTGTCAACTGCTTCTGTTTCCTCACTGAAACAGGAAATGCTGATATCCTCTGGAATGAGGTCTCAAAGAGGTGTTTGAGCTGGACAGAGAGGAGGTACATGATGGGGAGGGGATGGCACTAAGGAGATGCTTGGGTTCAGTTAGCAGAACTGAAGGCCCTTTTGAGGAGTGACCACAAACAAGTTCAGTGGGCCATGTCGCATGGGCCTTCCTCCTCCCTGCATTAGCTTGGCCATGGGGGCACAGGCTCAGATGGGGGATTTACTTGGGTACCATGGAGTAGGTGGGCAAAGGGAGAGAGGGGTAGGTGGGCAAGGGAGGCTGCCCAGGTGGTAGGCCTGCTGGGTCCGGGGCTGGTGAGTGGGAAGGGCCACTGAGATCAGAGTCATGGGGGGCGGCCACACGGTGGGATTGTCAACATTTACTTGTTCCTACACCGGGGTTAGAGTGGGGAGGCCATTACCAGTGACGGGGACCAGGGAAATCCCAGCAAGGAGTGGCTCAGGCAGGCGGGAGGATGAGGCCATTGGAAGAAAGTGCAGGAACTGAGCAGTCAAGCAGGAAAGACCTGATGATTTCCATTCGTTAGAGAATCATTTTCACTTAATACACAGCACTGCCTTCTCTGAGTCCCAAGTACAAAGAACTCAAGAATTAGTAGACTCTCTCCTATTCACTCTCCTCTCTTCCCCACTCTCTTTTTTTCCCCCAGGGGGAAAAGTGGGTGGCTGCCAGTCAGAGATGTGCATGCCTGTTGGGGAAGCAGGGAGGGTGGGAAGGGATCCTTCCCTCAACTAGCCAAGGCAAGAATGGGCTGCCTTGGGTTCTGAGTGTGGACATGGGCACATGGGGAGCAGAGCATGGTACCTCTAAGCCCAGCCACAGGCTAGTCCATGGCATACCTCCACAGAGCGACCTCCACAGAGGAACCAACACAGAGTAGTTCCACCAGGGACCTCCACAGAGAAATCTCTACACAGGGACCTCCAAAGAGCAACCTCTACAGAGCAACGTCCACAGAGCAACCTCCACAGAGCAACCTCCTCAGAGGAACCACCACAGAGGGACCCCACAGGCAGAGTCCTATGTCGCCTCATAAAAAGTGCCACGTGAGGATTCAGCAGAGAACATTTACCATGTAGGAATTTGTGTCCTTGTGAAGTCAGTTTACATACAGTTAACTACACTTAGAGGGCAACCTATGAAGTTGGAACGGAGCCCCCAAAGTGATTTTCCTGTTTTCAAGTGTGAATTATTCATAAATTGGTTTAAAAATTCTTGTCAAGAGCCCCCTCCTCCACATCCCAAGAGAAGGTAATTACACTGAGTTAGAAAAGCCTTTTGTCTGTGAATGGAATTCAGGTAATTCAGATAATTGCATCTCTTTTTCTGTCAAATCAGCTTTTGCCTCATGGAGACTTTCACATGTTGCTCACTGCTGGAGTAACCACTCCATGTAGGATGATAAAAAATCCTGGTAATTCATCTAAAACTGACAAATCAGAAAAGCACATCTTTGCCAGCTAGGTATGCTGTAAGGTTTGTTAAGCTTCCTTAAACAATAGGGAAATGAATAAATGAGAGCAACCACTCAACATAAGGGTGGCTCAACATTTTAAATAATGTTCCATAAAACATCTCGCAAGCTGCTCCACATGTCTCTAACGATGATTCACAGAACAGATGTTTTTGGCCAAATCTCCCAGATTTCCTCCAGAGCATGTCAGAGCTCCTGTGTAGATTCTTGGGGGTGTGGGGGAGATAGCATTCCATGATGAGTGTCCAGGAGGAGAGCTCACAAACATCCTGGTAGACTGAGGGTCTGAGTCACCTGGCCATAACCACACACTCAGGCCTCCCAGGATGATTCTGACACTTGGTGTTTTGCTCTGGTGTCAGCCCATGTGTCAGATAACTTGGCATTCTCAAAACGGGTGCAACAGACTGAAAATGGGAAGGTCAGCTGAGAGTGCCTCAGTCACACTTAACAACCGGAGCTAATCCATCTAGACTTTACTACTGTTAATCTTGACACACTGGCTACATTTCTCATTTGCTATCCCTGATCCAAACATTCTGAGATGGCTGGTGACTGTCCTGACAGTGGTGTGATATACTTGCCACTTCTGATGATCTCACTGCTTAAAGAGGGAACAAAAGCTGCCAAGTGGTCAGGAACATTTTCATTCTACTCACTTGTATGCCCGCTCTGTTTGCAGAGGGCTCTCTTTAATCCTCCCATGAAAGTCAATCATCCCAACCTTCCCACTGTGTGGGAAGCCTTCTGCCCTCTCTTCCTATACCAATAAACACCAATTTTGATAGGATTCTATTTCATTGGTAATAAAGATAAATTAGAAAATGAAAATTTAGAAGATACCATTTACAACCATGTTGATGGGCTAGAGGATTCAATATTGTGGAATGTCTACTTCTCCCAAATCAATCTATAGATTCACTGTAATCTCAATCAAAATCCCAGCAGGTTCTTTGCAGAAACTATAAAACTGATTGTAAAATTCATGGAAATGCAAAGGACCAAAAGCAACCAAGGCAATCTTGAAAAAGAACAAAGCTGCAAGACTTAGTCTACCAGTTTAAAAACTGTCTTCTAAGGCTTTCATAATTAGGACCGTGTGGTACTGGCATAAGGACAAAGTGGCCAATGAAAGAGTTAGAGAACAGAAACAGCCCACACATAGATGGTCCCAGGCTTCAATGCAAGCAACAATGGGAAACTGGATATTCACACGGGGAAAAAGTATCTCATACCACACATGCCATCGAATTTTGGATGGCCTACACATCTATATGTGAAAGGGAAAGACACAAAAACTTCCAGAAGAAATAAAAGCGAACATCTGCTCAGGATGTTCATCTCAGAGTAAAGAATTCTTAACACAGAATATTAAAAGCCCTAACTATAAAAGAAAAAATGACATATTAGAACTTGTTAAAATAAAGAATTTTTGTTCATCAAGGAAAACATTTAAAAAGTGAAAATGAGTCTGTGCATGGTGGTGCATACCTGCAATCCTTGTCTGTTGGGGGACTGAGGTAGGAGGATCACTTGAGGCCAGGAGTTCAAGACCAGTCTGGATAATACAGCAAGACCCCCCATCTCCACAAAACAATTTTTAAAAAAAATTAGCTGGTGTGTGACACGTCTGTAGTCCCACCTACTTGGGAAGCTGAGGCAGGAAGATTGCTTGAGCTTAGGCGTTTGAGACTACAGTGAGCTAATATTGTGCCACTGCACTTCAGTCTGGGTGACAGAGCAAGACCCTGTCTCTAAGAAAGGAAAAAAGTGAAAATGAAGTCCACAGAGTGAAAAAAGATACTCATAACACATGACAAAGTATTTGGATTCAGAATATATACAGAACCACTACAAAACAGTAATAAATAATATGAAAGAAAAATGTTAAAAAAACTTGAACAATTTACAAAAGAGGATATTCAAATGGCCATTAAAAAATATGAAACAATGCTCTATTAACCATCAGGGAAATATACAATAAGATCTAAAGGAAATAGCTTTTCACACCGAACCATAATAGCCAAATAAATAAACAGCAACTAAAACTCTCATACACTGCGGGCAGAAGTGTAAATTGACTCAGCCACTTTGGAGAACTGTCTGGAAGTATCTAGGAAAAGCGAATACATGCAAACCCTATCACCCCAAAGCATCACTCTTAGTGGATACACCTGGCAGAAACGTGCACCTATGTTCACCAAAGCCATGTGCAAGAATGAGCAGTACCTGCAAGAAGAGTCAGGCGAATGTGCTTCAAGCACAAAACTGGTGGTGGGGTGCCAAAAAAGTTAGTATTGAAGATAGATAATATTTTAATGGAATATTTAAAATCAATGCAACAATCTATAATGAACAAAATATCAGCATTTTGAATAAAGACATTATCAGTATGACTGATTTTTCTTTCACCTCAGGCTTCAATACCACAGGGCGTGGCCCTAGCCATCAATATTTGTGAGGGTCAAAAATTAGAAACTCAAAATGCCCACTGGTCCTGGAATGGGCAGATGAATCTTGGAATGTTCAGACAACTTTGCAATAAGAATGAGCTATGGCTATGAGCAACAGCCATACTGTTTTGTGAAAGCAGGCAGACACAAAGGCTATATTCTGCGTGACTCTACCTATCCAAGTACAAAACTGGGCAGGAAGGCGGTTGCTCTTGGGGAAAGCAGTGGCCAGAGGAATCTGAAGGGGTCTTCTGGATGTTGCTGATGTTCTCTTGCTTGATTTGGATGCTGGTTACACATGTGTGTTCAGCTTGTAAACATTCATCAAGATGTACATTTATGATGTGCACAATTTCTATATGTATGTTACACCTCCAAAAAGGTAAAAACAAAAACAAAGTATGTGATCCATATCAGCTGTCTTTCCCTGTACTGACACCCCAATATGAGGAGAGAATTCCTACATCCCGAATATTGATTTTAGTAGGTTAGAAATGATATAGTAAAATCCTTGAAAAGATACTTGGCAAAGATACCTGGCATGGAAACATAAGTATTCAGTTTAAAAGGAACATATGTACAAATAGAAACTGCATCATTTTATATAAGAGCAGACAGCTATGAGCTCTTGAAAGTGCAAAGTGAAGTCATGCTTACAGTACAGAAAAGCCAAAGTTTCATGAGGTTTGCTAAACATCAGTTTGTAACAGCCTCCGTGGGAGAGTGCAGGCCCTCGAGGGCCACTCTGGTGGGACACAGGGCGGGCATGCCTGTGCGAGTGGGGTGGGAAGGCAGCATCTATGAAGGTTTGTGACTCTGAAGGAGACCTTACCCCTGCCCCAATGAGTTTCCAGTCCAGAAGAGAAGAAGGGAAGACCTTTTGTCTAGAAGCCCAACAGTTGATGCCAAACATACTGTAGGAGCCAAGGGAAGACCACACTAACTTCCACTTAGGGTTTAAAGTCCAGGGTGGGAGGTAATGCATGTGAAAATGCATTCTAAAAAAGATGGATTGATGGATGGATAGATATGTGAGAGACCAAGTATAGTAAAAGTTAATCGCAGAAATAATAGTGGGTATAGGGTGCTTACTTTACAATTCTTTCAGGTTTGCTCTAGGTCTGAAATTTTTCACAAAATGTTACCAAAAAAAAATCAAAAGAAGATAAAAAGAGGAGGACCTTTTAAAAGGCCCTTCGTCCAGTCATCTCAACCTTGGGGCACATTAAAATCATCTGAGTTATGATACACCCCCACATATGTATACCACATGTATGCCCACACATATGTCATATACCCAGGCCCGATTCCACAGGTTAAAAGTTTCCCTGATGACTGTGATGTGCACTAAAAATTAAAAACCTTTGTAGAGAGTAGAACTCTTCCTGGCTATCAGTGACCTTGGCTGTAGTTGTCTGTGAGCAATGACCTGTGTAGGAATATACAAAGGAAATGTACCATGTGCATGTAGCATGTTACCGAAGAACTTTACCTATATTAACTCACTTAGTGCTTGCAATGTCCCCTTGAATTGGATACCACCATAATTCTCCCTTTAAATGGGACACTGAGGCACAGGAAGGTTATGTAACTTGCCCAAGGGGGCACAGCTAGGCAGTGGCTCTGAAGGCCAACACGATGGTCTCTTGGGAATGACTAGAGATGAGGGTGTAGGGGAAAAGGTCCAAGTGACCTGACCCCATCCTCACCCTCGGCTATGTTCTCTCAGCCTCAGCACGCAGCTGGAGTGCTTGTCCAACTGAGCCTTTGCCTAGACTACCCGCCTACTCCATTCCTGGCCCCTGTGCCCTCCATATACTCTGATGATTTCTAACTTATGCTCAGCATTGATGTCAGTGACTCTCCTCTTTTCTCAAGGGTTTCTTGAGGGCAGGAACTGGGTCTTATTCATCTATATTCACACTCTGTGCCTCACACATAGCAAATGCTCAACAAATAAAAAAACCATGAGGGGCGTATGGTGAGCTGCTGCGAAGAGTCCTGGGTGAAGGCAGATTTGCCTGTGAGTGCCAAAAGTAGGGACAAGATCAGTCCAAGAGGAATGCAGCTTTCTGCCACCTGTGCAGGGTGGCTGGGGATGAGACATTCCCCTCAGGCCACAGCGTCACACCCTCGGCAATACCAGTTATGGGTCACTGTCCCACCAGGTTAAGAGCCAAGGAACTTGGGGAGATCCATGTTCATTCACAGTTGAAAGGCTGGAATATGTACCACAGCTCACCACTCATAGGGGTGGGAAGGCTGCATTAAGAAAAGCAGATTTACAACAGCAACACTGGGAGATAAGATTCTTTTTAAATCTGACCGTTTCAAAATCTGACTTTAATTAGCTGGCCAATCTTTTAAACTCTATTAACTACATTCTCTCCAGGCCAGTGAACAAACTCTCTGACACCTTAGAGTCCTGGAGGATACCTCCAGACTGGAGGCTTTGCAGTCCAGGCGCCCAGAGAAGTGGTCACTGCTACAAATGCACAAGATGGCCTTGGAGGGACTCACCCTGAATGCAGTGCCTTCCTCAATGATTGTTGGCAGCTGAGACAGACAGATGTCGACGGCGAGGTCCCAGGCTTGCCTGGGGAGAGAACAGAAGAGCACCCACAAAGCATTATTGTCTGGCTCAGCAGTGATGGGCACCTTATGGGGCAAAGGAGGAGCCTTCCATGCCCTGGGCAGCAGGGGTCTGGGTGGAGACCTGGATTGCTGGGTGGGGCACATGTTTATAGCCATCCTGCACAGCATACAGAAATGACATAGGCTGCAGAAAATGCCCAAAGGGAGGCCGGGTGAGAAGGTGGTGACCCGGAATCACTGGCAAGGAGTCCCATCATAAGCCCAGGAAAAATAAAGAAATCAAAGAAATATATCCCATTCTCTAGTGTGGCTTCTGGCCCCAATTTGAACCCATTCAGCATGCAGCCCATGTGCTCCAGGCAGCTATGGTCCCTGTGGAGGCTCTGGTAGGGACAGCATCACAGAGGAACATGGGTGAGATGCTGAGGTCAGGCCAAAGCACTGTATCAGGAATAGCCAGTCAGCATGGGGCCAGGAAAAGCTAGCCTCTGTGGCCAGGACTGAGTCCCAAGCTGTCACAGTGCTGTCAGGACCTGTACCTCTTATCTGACCTGGGCCCCTGCAGGTCAGGGTACACCAGTGACCCCACAGATCAATTGGGGATGTGACTCAGCCTTCAAGGACAAGACCAGTGGTGCTTTAGGGTGAGAGGTGACAGTCTCTCTGATAAGTGGACTTGGTCACAGTCACTGGTTTTCTGTGGTATCAGGCCCCGGCTCAACATACCTACTAAAGGGCAGCATCTCCTCCATAGGCATCTGGCTATGCTTGCCAGGCGTCGTTCCAGAGACATTGTGACCAGGCAGGCACTGTGCTCTGCTCAGTGTCAAGTCAGCCCTTTGGGTTCAGTTTCTAACTCAGGCATAAGAGCCCATAGCAGGATGATGTCTGTGGCTTCATAAACACATGCTCTTATGTAATTCTGGGGGAATGGGAACTCAGAGCCTCTGAGCAGTCTGGTTGCTCTTACATAAGTGTCTCTGGCAAGCAGCTCTGCTCCATGCAGTCGCTGAATGGCCAAGAGCAAGGAGAATGGCAAGAGCTTGGGCCTGAAGTCAGACAAGTCAAGGTTCAGAGGACTTTTTTGAAAATCTTTTTTCTATGTGCATAATTTGGGGCATAATTTTTCTTCTTTTTTGAGTTGGAGTCTCACTCTGTCGCCCAGACTGGAGTGCAGTGGCCACTCGCGGCCACCGCAGCCTCAACCTGCTGGGCTCCGGCGATCCTTCCGCCTCAGCCTTCCGAGTAGCCGGAATTACAGACATGTGCTACCACGCCTGGCTGATTTTTTGATTTATTGTAGAGATGAGGTCTCGCTGCCCAGGCGGGTCTCGAACCCGCAGGCTCAGGCAATCCACTCACCTCAGCCTCCCAAAGGCGCGGGATTACAGGCTGAGCCACCGAGCCCGGCTCATTTCTTTTTTTAAATAAACTTTTAACTTGGAACTTTTAGACTTACAGAAAATTTACAACAACAGTACTGAAAATTTCCCTATAGAGCGTCTCCAAGCCTATTTCAAAATTTATAGACAAGAAGGCGATACCTACCTGCAATGTCTCCTCAGGTCTTGATACACTGAGCATAGGTAAGGCCAGCACTCACTAAAGACTAGTTATTTTCCGAAGTAGATAACTTTGTTGCTTTATGACAAGTCTGATAAGTTAAAATGTTTGGCAGAAAGGTGAGGAAAAGGAATGGGATGAAGAGAATTGGTATTTATTTAGTGCTAGTCAGCAAACTGTGGACTTTTCATGTGAACTCATCTAATCTTCAAATCTATCTGCAGGGAGCTCGCCCATCTTACTGATGAAGCTCAGAGGAATGGGGTGCCATGCCCAGGGTCACACGGTATGTGGGGAGCAGGGATTCAAACCACAGTCTGACCCCAAAGCTGTGCACGCAGCTAGCCAACCCCAGAAGTTTGGGTCACCCCTGGATCTGGAATCTCTGTATCCTCCGACCCCAGCACTACAGAAGCCCCCATGTGTTGAGATTCTCCCTGGGCTCTCTGTAGCTCTGCAAAGCTGACTTATTGTCCAGGGATGGCTGTCGCCTGGTGGGCTTGCAGGAAGCCTTCCCTCTGTGACGGAGGTGCCACTGTGGCCTCAGACATAGCTCTCCTGAGGCAAGGAACCCACCGAGGCCCCATGAGACCCAATCCTTTCTTTTTTTCCCCTCCACTTTATCGAGGTGCCAAAACCAACCATGGCTGGTTGGTTGTTCATTTCAGTCTTCTTAGAAAACAAACTGAGACAGGGAGGCCAAACCAGCAGTTAAGGATACAAGGAGGGGAAGCACACAGGTGGTGCCTTAAGATCCTCTGATCTCCACCACAGCTGGTCCTCTGCTCCTTCATTTCTTCTGGAGAAGTGACCAGACCAGAGGTCGCAGAGACGGTTGGCATGTGGGCCGCCCCTTGGGTTGACTGACATCTACATTGCATTGCTGCATCTACACAACCAAGTGAGAGTGGGAGATGGGCTTGGTACAGCCTGGCAGGACTCACAGCTCCTGGCAAAAAGACCATGCTGAGGCACCCCTTGATGGTCAAGCTAGAAGATACCATGGATGACAAGGTGTTCCTGTGCTTCCTCCCCCTGTTGGGGACCCACTGGCATGTGGCTGAATACCCAGCATTCCTGGAAGACTATGTTGGCTGCTCTTTGGCTATGGCCTCCTCCCCATCCTCCTCTCCTGCCAACCTGTGGAGCCATGGTGGTAAGAGGACAGGCACAGGAATGACAGCCGAGGGTAAGATGCCTGCTCTACTAATGAATAAGACTGGTCTAGGCATGGAGGCAAGTGGTCTAGAGAGGGCTATATGGAGGATGAGGAAGCAGGAGGGGATAACCCTACCAAAACCCTTCATCAAACCCCCATGCCTGGGCAGGGGTCCTGCCCTGTAGGTCCTTCCTGTCTCACAAAGTCACTAACAGGCACTGCCAGAAACCACTCTCTCTCACATCTCCCTGACTCCTGCCCATTCCCCAACATGTGTTCCAGATCTGAAGAACAGATCTCCACACATGAAGATGAAGCCAGCTGTGTGTGCGTTGAGGAAGTGGTAAGAGCAGGGGCCGGCAGGCGGCCTGGTGTGCTGGAGACAGGCAGGAGCCAGGAGGCCCGAGTGGCCTGGGTCCAGGAAGATAGAGGGAACAGCACAAATGCTAAGAGCCTGCAGGTCAGAGAGGCTCTGCTTGGGTCCCAGGAGGACGTGCGGTGGCAGGGTAGTGAGGCCGGAGATCAACTAAGAGGTTCCTCAGTGCTAAAAGTTAATTTCTAAAGATGGCCAATTTGGAGTCTCCTGTGTCTCTAGAACTTCTGCACTTCCATGTCCTTCCCCCACCCCTGCTGCTCTTGGTGGTCTTGCCAGGCAGCCTGGGGTCTCCTACCTCCCATGGGAGCTGTCCCCACCAAGCCCACAGTGGCTCTACAAGCCACCGGGGTAATGCACTTCCCGTTATGAATGACCACTCTGTCCCTCTAGAGTTTTCCCTCTTGGATTTCCCGAGGCTTTCTCCTCTGACTTCCCTCCCATCATGATGAACACGTCCCCTGTGCCATGCTGCTGTGGCTCTGCTGCTCCTATCCCCTCTTATGTGCTCTCCTCATATGCTCTTATTCTCACTCGTGGCACCCACCGCCGCCCTCTCACTGATGTCCCCAGACACTGTTGAAAACAGACTCCCATCTCTCCCTGGAGCCCCAGACCTCAAGTCCGAGTCCATAGAAGGACCAGTTAGGTCCAAACTAGACCTAACCCTCTTGGCCCGTCCCTGGGATTCCCAGGTTTGAGCAATGGCCTTCCCAGGAACCCCAGTCTCCTTCTCCTCCTTCCTGCTCTGCCCTTCCCTGTTGGAGCCTTAGTGCTGCCCACGTGGGTTGTCAGGACAGCCTCTTCCTCATAGGCCCCTCCACTCTCACCTGGCAGGCCCATCTGAACTCTGCCTTTTCTAAGGCTCTAACACCACGCTCCTTAGGCCTCTTGGCAGCTCTCCACCTTTGTGTGGCACCCAAGCCTGGCATGCCTCAGCACCTCCTACATCTTGAGTTCCATCTCTCAGATGTCCCTGAAGGTACCCTGGCATCCAGTCTGCTTGTCTAGTGCCTGACACATAGTAGATCTTCAATAAACATTTGTTGAATGAGAGTGAAGGGAAGCATTAAAGCAACCTCTAGCTCAAAGAGCAGCCCAGTGTGATTCTGAGAAAAGGGGAAGGAGAGAAAAGAAGCCTTGACTGCGATGAAACTGGGTTCTATTCTCTTCTTGCTGCCAACCAGTTGTGGCCTTGGAGAACATGAGGTAGCCATGTAGGGGGCCACTCCGTGAACTTTGCCACCTGGCTCTAGGGATTTGGGCTCACAGCTTTATCTCTCTAGGATCAGTTTCTCCAACTGTGAAGTAGGCTAACCATCTGTCTCCCTCATAAGGTCCTTGTGAGATTGTGAGATGATACAAAGGCCTTGGTAGACCCGCTGACACAAAGCAGTTGGTCAGAGATAGTTGTTCTCCTGCCCAACCAACATGAACTCTAAACCAGAATCAAACAATCACCTTACTTTCTGTACGGCCACAAATTAAAAAGTGTTAATTCCCATAGACACAAGTGGAGAATCTCTTATTCAATTAAAAATGCTTGGAACCCGAAGTTTTTCAGATTTCAGAGTTTGTCCAATTTTGGAATTTTTTTGGTCAATTTGGGGTCTCACTCTGTTGCCTAGGCTGGAGTGCAGTGGCATGATCATGGCTCACTGTGCCTTGACCTCCTGGGCTCAGGTGATCCTTCCTTCCTGAGTAGCTTGGACTACAGGTGTGTACTACTGTGTCGGGTTAATCTTTTGATTTGTTATAAAGGCGAGGTCTCATTGTGTTGCCCAAATTGGTATCAAACTCTTGGGCTCAAGCAATCCTCCTGCCTCAGCCTCCCAAAGTGCTGGGATTACAGGCGTGAGCCACTGTGCCTGGCAGATTTTACGATATTTGCAAATACATAATGAGG